ATAGCGTAATATGTATCGTGTTTGACGTTATAGTTAATACGCGTTCTTTCAAACATATTAATTAAACAAATATATCAATTATAAAAGGTTCCAATTGTAAATCTTGCAACAAGCTCCACTGTTCCGTTTTACGTTCTTGCGCAACATATTCTTCTTCCAGAAATAGTAATATAGCTAATTAAAACAATGACAATGTAAGCTAATCCTGTATAAATGGATGTAATACCGGTCACTGAAACATTCTATAAAAGATACACTCTGTAGACAAAGGACGAGGCAAGTTCACATTTACAAAATGGAAAAAGCATAACAAACCGAAAAAGGACTCTCTTCCGAACGAATGAATTACATGTTTAACGTATTGTAACCGTGGCATAATTATCATTTCTACCACGTTCAATTCCACGAACGATTCTCTGAATCAAAATTAATTCACGATCGTGATTGACAAGATAGATAGATGTACAGTTGGTGACACATGTGACACATACATACGTATTTGTGCACGACGCATACGTTTTACACGGTCTTGCACCTATGCGCATGAAACGGTGATAACGATCGATCATACATGAACATCGATGTCAACAAACTTCAAAATTCCAATGTTTATCGTTACATTCGGAATTGTTTTTTCTTTTAACTTTAAACCATCGACAAGATGACAGACAATAAATATATAATATTCGTTCCTAAATAATAGTTATATTTGTAAAAATGACTAACATACCGTGAGAAATTAATTGAATATTAAATTTGTTACGGCACCCGAACTTTTCGAAAATTAATTCTACTCTTCTGAAAAGACCAATCCGCACTTCTTATTCAGGAATGTTACAACATTGCGTAGTAAGTTGAGTAAACCTTAGTCAATTCGTGTTCGATGAGATTGAAAACGAAACAGCGCGCAGTTACGTCGTTTCTGCAGGAACAACTGCTAATAATGTGGTTGATCAGTGGTCAGCTCTCCACGACCGTCGCTTACGTGTCATCGGCGTCGAACAAAGCCTAGCCGACACTAATTTCGTGCGAACTACCAGAACAGGGTTGAACATCTAGAACCTGATGGACATAATATTTCCTGCTGACCGAACATACTGAGCGTACTTGAGCTTGATGGTATCTGGGATTGGACGCACTTGTCCCTAATCAAAGTGAAATGGGGCCAAAACGCATTTTTCGCCAATATGCCATAAAAATGATCGAAATTGAATTAACCCATATCAATTTACTTCTTTATTACTCTAATGATATTTGAAAATATATTACATCCTTTACAATATTAATACAATAGTTTCTCTTTTTATCCTGCATATATGAATGTTTCGAATAATAAATAACGATACTCTTTTATCGAAATCTGACGACTGTACAATTTTTCTGAAAGATGTTACAGGAATGATTTCTTAAATTAGTAAATATACCAAATGTTTTGCAGCGACGATTGTGGATTAACGTTGTCGAAAATCTATTGTATTTATGATTGATAATTTAGCAATACGGTTGCTGCTTCTGAAAGCAGATTTGGTATCTATATATGTAACCATACGGCATCTCATCTCTCCACATCCGGTGGAAATGCGCCATGGAATCTGGAGTTGAGCAATAGTTACAGAGCAAGTTGTTAGGGTTAGATAGTTGAATCAACATACAAAGCGTCATTGATCTGCTCATGTTCACGAAGCTCGAAACATATGCACAATACGCCTACATATATTCCAGGTAAAGCAAATATACGCTATGCTCGATTTCTCTGTTTCTATCTCCTTTGACCGCATTTGCTTTCAATATAATCTACATTATTCCCACGGTAAATCAAAAGTGTTGCAATACAAGAACAAGATCGTATTCCTTATCAAATTCTGCGCAGAAATTGAACGAACGGATGTTAAATGATGTTTGTGCTGAGATATAGGCCATATTACATCCAGTTATGATAACATCATTTTTGTTGATCCGACATTCGGTGAAAAGGCACAATAGCAAGAATTTACGTTTATTTCTAAACATTATGATCTAACCCAATTTTTGTAGAAACTTCTTAACACGAGTTAAACACGTTACACGCCACGCGTAAAGTATAAGGAGATTCACATGTCGCCCACAGCATTAAACGTCCTAATAGAATCTTTCTTCAAATTTAAAATCCTAACAGTACGATTACTTTTCTGTGAATAAGGAACGTGTTGATAGAAAGGTTAACCAAGTGCGATATAACGACAGATAACGGATCAATTAGATAACCAATCCCCTGAAAACGACAGTGATATATATCTTTGGCGAAACACGTGTTAGCGATTCGAAAATGTCCCCTGACATACTTGTACCACGATACGGTTAGAGGGAAAGCAGTTTCGACGGGGTCGTAAGCAGATAAACGAAACAGCAGCGAGTGCAACATGTTTCGACCGTGGCTGAAAACGTGTTTACAGCATGTTAGGTGGTCGATCATGCGTCACTGATACGCAGGGGCGCCGGTAACTCCGTTCTTTGACGTTCCATTATGCAAAATCGTCTTCGTAGTCATTCCTGACGCCAAATGCCGCGCGACGCGTGCTCGATTTCACGCGAATTCACACCGATGATGATACGCACCGGTCGCGACAAAATCATGAACGCAACAACCGTGAACGACGAATGGAACTACGGAAATTTTAAAGAGATCGATACAAAAGCTACGCAAACTCGACTCGTATAAGCGTACGTATATAAAGGTCAACAGTGATTTGATTAGAGATAAAATCAAGTCATCGCGTCGATTTACTAGAAAGAGTAACGTAAATGAAACAAACGCATTTTTCAAAAAATTGATTTGCAGTAAAAGATTGTTAATAACTTCCGTCTCAGAAAATAATCTAGTTTTAAATATTGATAATTGTGGTAAAAGGACAATTAATGATTTTAAAGGAAATAGAAAAAATCCCTTAGCTTTATCTTGCGTTCAAACAACGTTAAATGGGTGTGTATTTTAAATGAATTTCAGAAGAATAAGAAAAAGAAGAAGAAGACAAAAGAAGGATTAGCTGTTATAATGACTTTTCCTTGTGAGAAATTATTTGCTGACTATTTCCGGCGGCATTAAATATTCCACGTCTGAGTTGGACAATCACAGAAGATTGACGTGAAAAAAAGATAGCACATAATAGAAAAATATACTTGTATGATAATCAATTTCTTGGAATTGCTGCTATAAATGAAAAAAAGTCAATAACATTTAATATCGAGAGAATTATATAATGCAAGCAGAGAAGCGGAAAAAGGAAGAATACGATTATACGGAGTATTTTTAAAGCTACTTTATCATTGCTTTACCAACACAGCCTAATATCTAAATCGAAATTCTACTAAAGATATGATTATCTTTCGAACGCTTATTTTTTCTTTTTATTTTTCTCTTCATATCTCGAGAGAAATGCTCATCGTCGAGTGACGCACGATGCAACAAGCGTGAAAGAAGATAATTTCGAACGTTCGAGTCAATGATACTAAATTTTCTACCTTATATATATATATAGTTGAATTTTCTTTTGGTGTTCATTACCGCAGAAACACATATTACATGGAATAGTCTTTTTCTGCTGAAAAAGAGAGATAGAAAGTAATAGGTATGTATTCTATAGATAGAAGGACAGAGAACTGTGAACTGGATACACATAGGTATAGAAAGCTGAGAAATCCTACAAGTATCCGCCAGAGAGAGCTGTAGGATGACGGATGGACGGCAGGAAGCGACACAGGAACCGGAACCCATTACTCCAGATAACAACTTCCCTAAGGCTTCCTTTCCTTCTTCAACATCTACTGGTAAACCCCTTATATACACACAACCATAGTGCAACCGGTTCTTGCAGTACGAATCCGGAAATTTACCACTTCTGTTGCCATTTTGCTCGGATACAAGCCGTGCAACTGGTGGCCCCGTGATATACCATAAGCGAGTCGCGAAATGGACCTTGACCGCTTCTCGCGAAAATTCATTTTGCTTTATCGACTAGATCTTTTCTGAAAGAAAGCGATTGGTGTACCAGCATCGAATAAAGAAGCTGACTACAATTCCGCCGCTAAAAGCGTAACCTTTCAACACGATTTTTTTTTTAAACATATTTTCAATCGAAACAAGGATTTCATTGCGGCGGAAGGGAAGACGGCAGGCTGAAAGACTCTGTATATTACATTTGATCAGCATTTTGAAAACCATTGAATAACCTTACTGGAGGATTAGCGATATCGCACTTTATACGGGTCAATTGGATGGCGCTGACGGACATGCGAAGCGTGAAGAGGAGATTCAGGTTGAAATGGAAATGGGCGTCGCAGTGGTAGGGAAACCACCGACGTCGCCGCCACCGTTACTAAATGGGCTCCGAGCGGGTTACCCAACTGTTGCGCCTTCATCAGAAATTTATGCAGAATCCTGGGTTAACCGTCCCGGCCAATCAGCTTTGTAACAGAGCTAACGTCGTATCAGCGAGGGAACGAAACCGAGAGAGACTCTGATTTAGTAAAAAGCCTTTAATATTTTGCGCCTTCGCCATACTGGCACGCGCGTTCCTAACTTCCAACTGCTAGAGCAGAGCTTAACGCATCGCCGATTCAACGGATTACATTTCAATTGCCTTTCAAAAAGATTTCTCTAGTCAGCAGAAAGTCAACCAGAGAATCTTTCAAGTATCGGTAATATAGAATTTGGAAGTAAAGTTCATTATATAAAATGATAAAAAATAAGTGTATTTCTAATTTTCTACTTGTACGTACTCGCATCATTTACTGAAAGCATTGCAACTTTCCAAATGTGCTTCCAAATATTTTATCTAATACTACTAAACTACCTTATAAATTGATAAAAAAAATTGATAATCTACTTTATTTTGGATTATATTGAAATTCAAAATTGAATACCAATAATTTTCCATCAACGAAATAACGTATAAGCTCAAGAAATGAGTTCGGTGTGAGTTCAAGGAATGACTACAAAATCAAAAGAAGAAAATACAACTCACCAACAAGAGCCAGAAGCACCGTGAGCAGAGATGCAGCGGGAAACGTTATCGTTAAGTTGAACTCCAACATTTGAAGCAGATCCACTGAAACAAAGGGAAAAGAAGTATATTTCACGTGAAAAATAGGCAAACCCGTGCGTGCAAATGGCTATTCGACTCATTGATATTTTCTAAGTCGAAGGAAATGAAACGAAAGAGAAAAGGAAAGGAATGCAAGAAAGAGAAAGGAAAAAGGGCGATGAAAGTGTTTAAAGAATTCATAAAAAATATACTTTATATTCCATGAAGTAAATGCATGGCGACACGATATTGTATCGAGATCGTTATGCTCGACGACGAACGGTTCGAATTTAATATTTATTAGATACTCCGTGACGAAAAGTTCCTGAGCGAAAGGTTATTACACAAGTTGAGGGCCGTGAAGAAATCGTGTCGCGTTCGACGAGTCGGTTCAAAGCTCAATAAGAATTAATTTCAAAACTTCCTGGATCTCGATTTAAGTTCTCGCAAACTTTCGATCGGCGTCCTGAGATGAGAGACAAGGTTCCGCTTTTCTTGCTACACTCAATCCATACACAACCTTTTATTAATTTATTCCATTCAGTTTTTCGTTTCTATCTTTTCCTGCAATGGCTCCATATCGCCATCTTATACACGATTATTAAATTGCAAATCAAAATTTTAAATTTGCAACTCGCACTTGGTTTTATCGTTTTGTTGTTTCGTTACGCCGCTAGCGTAGATTTTATACATTTATAAATTTACATTATCAGACTGATCTATCGACTACGAAGCTTCGCTTTCCAAAAAAGGAACCAAAATTTAGTAGAATACACTTGTATCTTCATTGCTATAATACTTTACGTAACTTTACTCAATACTTTTTTACACTACACACAAACTACTATTCCACTTATTCTTGTATAATAACAATACACTTTCATAATAGCAAACAGTCTCTGTTAGCTACGTTGTATCAAACGCGAAAACAGATCTAGTAACGATCTGTAACGAAAGCAATTACACGAGGTATCAGTCAGATGCACGTGTACTCGATTGGATTTCAAAGTTATTTTTTCTGGAAAATGGAGCTCCGTATAACAAAATGTTATTCCGTTGTTCCGACCTGTTTCGAGTCATAGAATACCCTACGATTTGCCCTGTTGTAAATTAACTTTTTTACTTACATAGGAATGAAGCATACAAAAAGTTCGCATAGAAAATATAATTAAAATATTAAATATTTTTTCATGATTATATGATGAAATTTAGTATTTACAAAAAAAGCAGAAATCTTTAACTCGCCAGTAGTGAAGCTGCACCCTAAACGTTTAATTATTCAGAAATAACTTTCATAAGGGTACTCTCTTCTATAACTTAGTTAAAGCGTGGCAACGTAATTAAGAAGTTGAGCTATTCCCAAACGACGACGCATGTCGCGGCTTCTTTATAATAGCCAGAATATTACCGCTTACAAATTTCCGCCACAAGCTTGGTGTGTTCCGATTTAATGAATTTTAGATTTCAAGATATCGCCCACTAAAACCACTCCCACTGCTTATTAAAACTCTCGAGTCCTCCATCTTGCTCTATATTAATCTAAACTCCGCTTGTTGGCAACTGTATTACGAAATTATTTTTTTACGCAAATCAATGTGTCCACTGCATTTTATCTTTTCAAAATTGGTTTAACAAACTTCGGATAAATAAAATTTCGATATTTTTATCTCTAAGGAACTAAATTCATGGGTATAAGGTACGCGAGATCAGCAAGCCATCAAACAATTTTTCTCTTCTTCGTTCCCACGAATTTATCATGTTAGAAATATGCCGAGCTCTTAAAATAATTTAAGTTTGGCAACAATAGTAAACAATACGAATTAAGCGAAAAATAAAAAGAAAAATATATATATGTATAAGTATATAAGGATTTCTTATCTGCTTTAGCCTTGAAACAATCATCTCTTAGACAAGCGCTGCGATTTTAATAGAATATTTAAAATTCAGTCGCTACGTTCGCAAACTGAATATTCACCAGACAAAAACCGACTACGTAAACTTCAAGTATTTTCTCTACATATTTTAGGTAAGGCGCAACGATAAGAAAGCTGAGGTGAGAAAGGGTCTGAAGGAATGCAGAAAAGGGGGAACAAAGGAACGAGGAACGTAAAGAGGAGGAAAAGATTGGATATAACGAAAACAGAATAGTAGAGATAAACATGAACGAAAGACGGAAGACAAGAACTTGAATGGTCCTGAAGCTGCCTAAAATATCCCAAATTCACTGGTGGAAAGCAAGAGGTAGTTCCTCCCTACAATGTTTTTCTATGCAAATTTGTATTTCAAACGATTAACCTGGGAAAATAGCTCCTCTTCTACATCACGTTTCAAACTTACAAAGTTTGCCCTTCGCCCCTTTTCCTTTTTTTCAAAATGTAATTTCTAAGTCTTTCGATTAGATAAATAGATATCGAGAAAGATGGTTCATTATCGTTCGTTATCAGCCTACTGTCTAATCGCAAACACTTGGAAAGTCAAGGAACGGGAATGAAATAGAGAAAAAATTGTCTATGAACGCCGGTATCGGCAGTGAGACCATTGTAATTTTCTGATTGGCTATTGACTCATTCGCTAACAATAAAATTAATCAGCGACTATATGGCTGTTTCGAAAAATACTATCAGGTCGTTGAACCCGAAGCTTCCTACTCGTGTCTTCTAATCAGCACAGTCGTTCTTGAACTGTACTACAAAAAGACGAAGACGATATTTTTGATAAAAAAAATCAGTATTGTATGAATAAGCTCTGAGAAATTAATCTCCGTACAGATATTACCAAAATTAGAATTTTTCTGGGATAATACCGAGATGTCTTTTGAATATCTAAATATTTCTTATCCTCAAACATCATCTACGTTATATTTAATTTTATATTCTTTTTTTAATTTTATCTTGTTTATGTATCACAATTTTTCTATCATAAACAAACAAAGTGAGTGACAACTGAGCTGTTAAGATTTATAAGGAGGAAGCGATAAGTACATAGAGAAAGAGAAGCAACTGAGATAATAAACTATTATAATCTTCGTAGGACAAATAAAAGAATACGAAAAATGTTCGAAACGTGATTACCTACACTCTACAGACGTAAACATCTAATGCTTTATACGTATGATAGATAAACCGGTTTGGTATCGTGCGTATTTTATTCGAGGTTAACATTATTATGGCAATGCATTAATTGCAATGGCATTGCAAATGTTTACTACGGAAAGAATATATGGGTTACGTATTCCATCGTTTTGTCATAACGAAACGAAGAAAGAAGAAAGATTCCGTACAACGACATTTCCATTTGAAAAGTGTCTTCGTCGAAACCACACTATGCAGCTTGTATTTTTAGAATAAGGAATTTACATGACGCGAATAACAACAGAGTATAATTGTCGACAGAAAATAATGTTAGATAAAAGTAGAGGTAACTGTAATATATTAGAATTAATAATAATATAAAATAGTAGTTGCCTATAAATGAATCTTATCACTCACTACCTTCGAAACGATGCCATACACTCTTTTCTTTAACAATATACACATATTTATTTCTGTTTGGATCTTTTTACAGTTAAAGGAAACGAAATACCGAAGGTTCTAAAATTTCCAATTATATTGTGATATTGAAATAAAAATTTACATTCGTATTTAATAAGCCAAATGTTGTGCCGCGTTCGAATGAAAATTCACGATCTTAAATTTAATTTCATCGTCGTGTACAAATATTAAATATCGCCGTAAATATTTCGCTTATAAAACAGAAAGATCAATATACACATAACACCGGCGCACGTCACTCTTAACCAAAGTAACAAACAAAACAAGGAAAACGAAAACGAGTCTAAAAGTTCCTTCTTTCCAGACCGATCCAAAACCCTTGATCAGGAGTCAACGAAAAGTTCGTCTTGCTAAATTCAATAGGTGTTTTCGTCCTTTCAGTAATTTTCAAGCGGAATCTGTGCAACAGATAAGCTATCAGAATCTTGGTCTCCATTAAGGCAAAACGATTGCCTATACATTTTCGCGGCCCGAGGCCAAACGGTAAGTACGTATAAGGAACAATGTTATCCTTATTCTCATGGTTAAAACGTTCTGGGTCGAACTTCTCTGGGTCAGGAAAATACTTGGGATCACGATGCAACGCGTAAACAGGAAACCAAACGATGTTATCCGGATATACGGTTAAATAGTTGTAGCCAGATTCCGCTGGAGGCAGTTGAAACTTTTGCGCGCACAACCTATCGATGAAAACTATCGGAGGATATTTCCGAAGTGTCTCTGATGTCACCATTTCCATGTACTCCATTTTCGAAAGAGCCTCGTACGAAATAAACCCGTTTCCTTCTTCCACATATCGATCCACCTCATTCTGTAATTTCTCTTGTACGTCCGGATTAAGCGCCAACTCGTGAACCATGTAACACATCAAGGTGGAGGACGTGTCGAAACCAGCCAAAAAGAAGATGAACGCCTGAGCTGTGATATCATCGATAGTCATCTGATGTGTGGCAGGCTTCTCCTTATCCCTAGCCTGCATCAAAAGGTGAATCATGTCCGGTCGAACGATATTTTGCTCGTCCCGTGCCTTCACGGTTTCAGAGACGACCCTATGGAAGAAGTTGGCGGTATCGCGTGAAAGGAACGATAATCCCGCCATTCTGGTTAAACGTGGATTCATACGAAATAACAGAAACTTGAGTAACCGAAAAAGACCACCAAAATTCGTCGCATCCGCTCCTTTTTTATAGAACTCGTTGTTCCGATTTTTCAACGAATTCACACTTATTCCAAAAGCCACAGTGGCAATCACGTCGTTGGTATACCTAGTGAACGCATCTTTCGCCTCTATCGAACACGACAACTCTGGATGATTGTATAAATGGTCGACGAATTCCTCAGAACATTTAGACACCAGCTCGAACATGAATCTCATCTTGCTAGCTGTGAAGGATGGACTCAGTGTGTTCCTCATCTCTCTCCATCGATCACCTTTCAAGGAAAACACGTTTTTCCCGAATATCGGATCTATTTTTTCGTTGATGAAACTCTGATGATCGGGAAAATGCTCAAAATTCTTCACAGCTATCTCCCTGATCATCTCTGGATCCCGAATTACCACAACTGGCGTAGAGAAATCCATCATACCGACGTACCTTGCGTTCGGATAATAATTGTAGACGAACGTGCAATAATCGGGAAGGGACACGCGACGGGTGAACAGTTTCCACGCGGATCCAAATACAGGCATCGCTCTCACATGAGGAACGTGTCTCTTTTTCCAGTAACTGTACTGGTGATGAAACAAACTGATCAACTTGGCTAGACTAACAACGATCAAGCCGATCACTAACAACTTGAACGAAAAAGAGAACGACTCCATTGATGACTCCATTACCACGAGGATGGATTACGAGCGTCGACTCTGTCTCTAGTCACTAGGAGGAATGTTATAAATATGGGCGAATACATATACTCGATTTATCGTTGCACGAGGAACAGAGAAGGAGGGAGTAGAATGTCTGTTGCGTCAACTAAGTGAACAAACTGCGTTCTTCCTCGTGAATATTCTGAAAATACATTTTGTAGAAATTGTTGCTGTCGATCCTGCCGCCCCTTTACAAATTCACCGTACAGAAATAAAAAGATAAATGGGAATTAAAGTGGAATTATCGGCAACTACGCAATCTCGTTTCGAAATCCTTGCATTGAAACATTGATTTTTCATATCCTAAATTGCGCTCGCTTTTTACCTTTTTTTTCTTTTTTTTTTTTGTTTTTCTATATTCCGCAATACACTCTATATAAAAGATTTAAACCTCTGCTATAGATTTTCGAAAATATAGTCACGAAATTAACATAGTCACAGACATAAAATTCATATTCATATGAAGTAAAATATATGAAATTTTGTTCGAAACTACAATTTTTAACGACTAATAAAAAAGATAATTGTCTCAAGTTTCGCTTTAAGATTTGTTTATACGACTCCACTGACAAATGATAATTCTACGAAGCGTAGAATTCATGAAAATTCTTTTTACTATCTCATGGCCTAAAGTGATGACGATATACTTTTATGAAAACAATCTACAAAAACCGATGTGTAAGTGTTGTAAAAGGAAATTTATTTGCAAGTCTACTATTCTTAAATCACATCCCGATGGCATAACGATAAAAACGCGTACGAATATGTCTCGTTTGAAAAATTCTATATTATATCAGTGATTGTATGCAGTAGAGCAAGTGAACTGTTATTCTAGACTTTTTAACCCCCTTCGAACGGCATTTAACTCTAACAGGGCAATGTATCATAGCTGGTTTTAACACTAAGACACTAAACAAATATACAAATTCTTAGCATTCTGTACAATAAGAAGAAAATTAATTATATCGTTATTTGGTTATTTGCAAAAAAGCTACTACTATATATATAAATACTAATATATGTTTATCATATACCGAAGTTAATAAAGCCTCTATTCTAGCATTTAATAATCTTGTATATCTAAGTCAATTATCTTTTAAATTATTACGCTGTTTAATGTGAAACAATAACAAAATACATACTATGGTTTTTGTTGCTTGAAAATCGACAAAACTTAAGATAATATTACTTGGTGGTAATAAAATATCTACAACACGTCTTTACTTGTTTAATTACGAAACACATAACTCATAAAGTAACACAAATATAAATGCTTATCATACGATTAAATCGTATATCAAAGTACGTTTAAGGTATTCTTTTTCCTAATATAATCAGAAATCCTGCCACAGGGATCGGTATAAGACTATTTTTTGGGAATACAAAAGGAGTTCGCATCTTCTCGCTAGGTTGCAAGAAATTTATGCAAAATGTGAACCATTAAAATTTTAACTTCCATCAATACGAAATGATCGGTGATACATTTTCGAAGTCCAGCTCCAAGCGGCGTATACGTGCATGGAACAATGTTATCTTTATTCTTTTCGTTAAATCGTTCAGGATCAATTTTTTACGGATCAGAAAAATATCTAGGATGTAACGCGTACACAGATAACCAAATGGTATCACCAAGATATAAAATGATACCATCGTATCCTAGCTCCGTTGGAGAAAATTCGAATTTTCGCGTGCATTGCCTATCCATGATAATTAGCATCGGATACTTTCTAAGGGTCTCCGACATTACCACCTTCATATATTCCAAAGTCCAAACAACGATCTATCTCATTACGTAATTTTTCTTGAATATCAGAATTTAGGGATAACTCTTGTAAAAAGTAACACATAAAATTTGAAGATGAATCAGTGCCAGCCAAGAAGAAAATAAATGCTTGTGATACGATATCGTCAATGTCCATATGATAAGTAGCCATCTTTTCCTTATCCCTGGTCTATATTAACAAATGTAGCATATCCGGTCTGACGATACCTCGTTCTTCGCGTTCTTTTAAATTCTTGGATATAACTTTACGAAAAAGGTTTAAGGTAGCAACTGGAATAATCGTGATCCCTAATATATTGAATATTCGTAGACAGAAATGCATTAACAACATCTTAACGATACTGCAGGTGAAACTAGCTAAAACATCTTTCCCCTTAACGGAAAACTCGTTGTTTCTGTCTTCCATTGAATTCACACTGATTCCGAAGAAAACTGATGCAATCACGTCGTTGGTAAACCTAGTAAAAGCGTCTTTCGCATCCATCGATGAAGTATATTCTGGATAATCGTACAAATAATCGACAAATTGTTGCAAGCACTTTGATATCGAGTCGAACATGAATCTCATTTTGCTAGCAGTAAAGAAAGTAGAGAGAGTATTCCTCATTTCTTTCTAACGTTGACCTCGTAGCGAAAAAATGTTCTTCTAAAATAGAGGCTCCATGTGCTCATCGATATACAATACGTTTTATGATATGTAAAATGTTCGAAGCTCTTCACGGTTATTTCTCGAATCAATTTCGGAGCACGAATTAATAGATTTGGCAAGGTAAAATCTATCGCTCCAATGTATCTTGCATTGGGGTAGTAATTATAAATGAAGTCACTATACTTGATGAACAATTTTCCACGGACAAAAAACACGGAAAAAAAACGGACCAAGTATTGGAATGGATCTAACATGAGGCACGTTGTTCTTTTTCCAATAAGTTTGTTGTCGATATATCGTTACAAAGAACTTGAATAAGGTTATCGTGATCAAAGTGATCACTAATAGAGTAAACGCTGATGAGGTCGATAGAATCTCCATGGCACTCTCAACAGCAAATAACTGTCGTCTGTCAGCTACAAGGTTACAAATACGAACCGAGCACATGTACAAAGTTTAACGTCAAACGGTGGAGGAAGGGAGAATACAGAAGATGACGTCATTATTGTATTATATCTGTCCTCCTTTCTGTACCGTGACAAGAACAATTTAAGCAACTTCAATTCACGTTCGATTCGAAAATGAAACGAACATACACTCCCATTGACAAGTATTAGAACACATACATACCTGTTTATGCAAAACGTGGTATTCGATCTTAATTTTGGCTAGATAGGTATACAGTCGAAGGAAAGGTTAAAGGCGTGATAAAGAATGGTGCGAAAGATATAAATAATTTCCTCTGTCTCGATACAGTATTGATCAATAAAATATAGAATTAGAATTCCATGAATTTAATCATATTTGATGTTATGGAGCGTACAGGGATTTGTAGTCGTATCATTTTCACATAGTTTTCTCGATGCATATAAAGTAGAACAAAAAAGTGAAACAAAGAGCATGTCGGTGGAGAAATAGAACGGAAACAAAATCACATATACGGAAACTTTATTTATAATCAAATTTTCATTATTTGCTGAATTTTATTAGTCGCAAGATACAAACGTGATTAGATACCTTTCGATAAGAACGTTAATCAAACTTTGTTTTCTCAAAGATAGAAGAAAATGATTACAGAGAGAAACCCATATCCTTAAGGAAAGAAATATAGTACAAAGTAAAAGAAACATAAGTCAAAACGATCAAATAATAACAATTTTGAATTAAAATTATGTATACATTTGTTAATGTACAAATAATAGTTAACCGTAATATAAAGTTAAACAACAATATATACTTTATGGCGTACCTAACTCTTCCTCTTCTCCAAAGTAAGCCAAAATCCGTGTTCTGATGCCGGTGTAAAATCAATCTTCTTGTACACAATAGGAATTGTTGTTTTTTCGTTAGGTTTTATAATAAACTTTTCCAGCAGACGGATTATCAAAAGCTTAGTCTCCATTAAAGCGAAACGATTGCCAATACATTTCCTAGGACCTAGTCCAAAAGGTATATACGTATAAGGATTAATAGTACTTTTATTTTCGTTGCTAAACCGTTCAGGATCGAACTTCTCTGGATCGGGAAAATATTTAGAATCGCGGTGAAGCGCATAAACAGGGATCCAAATATTGTCATCAGGATACACTGTCACACTTTGGTAACCTGGCGCCGCTGCAGGCAATTCGAATTTCTTTGCGCAAACTCTATCGACTATCAACGATGGAGGATGCATTCTAAGCGTCTCGGATATTACCATTTCCATATATTCCATCTTCGACATAGCCTCGTAAGAAATTTCCCCGTTTTCTTTTTCCAAATAATAATCTACTTCTTCACGTAACTTCTGTTGAATATCTTGATGCAAAGCTAACTCGTAAACCATGTAACACAACAAAGTAGAAACAGTGTCGAAACCGGCTAAAAAGAAAATGAACGCCTGAGCTACGATATCGTCGATGGTCAGCCGATATGAGGGTTGCTTCAAATCTTTGACCTGCATCAAAAGATGGATCATGTCTGGTCTAACGATGCTCCACGTTTTCCTTGCAGTTACCGTTTCGGAAATCACATTCCAGAAAAAGTTGGCCGTTGCTCGAGACAGGAACCTCAGTCCTGCCATTCTCGTTAGACGCGGGTTCAACCGAAATAACATGAATTTTATTAAACGAAGCGTACCACTGAACGAGGAAATATCGATTCCTCTTTTGTAGAACTCGTTGTCTGGATTCTTGAGCGAGTTTACATTTATTCCAAATGCAACTGTGGCGATTACGTCGTTTCCGTATCTAGTAAAGATGTCTTTCATCTCCACCATCGAGTGAAATTCTGAATGTTCGTACAGATAACTAACGAAATCGTTCGAACACTTGGATACCAGCTCGAACATGAATCTCATCTTATTGCCTGTGAAAAATGGACTCAATGAGTTCCTCATCTCTCTCCATTGATCATCTTTCAAGGAAAATACATTTTTCCCGAAAATCGGATCCATCTCCTCGGATACGAAACTTCGATGATTTGGAAAATGCTTGAAACTCTTTACGCCTATTTCGTTGATCAGCTCTGGATCTCGTATGACCACCGTTGGCGTAGCGAAATCCATCACCCCGATGTACCTTACGTCAGGGTAATAATTATAGACGAACATACAATAATCCGGGAAAGTAATACGACGAAATATGACTCTCCAAACAGTTCCAAATATCGGTCCTGCCAGTACATATGGAACTTTATTCTTCTTCCAATAGGTGAACTGTCGGTATATTATCGGAATCAACTTCGCCGAAGTAATGATGATTAAAGAGATGAACAATAACTCTAAAGTAGATAAAAATAATACTTCCATCGTTACGAAAACGTGTTAGGACGAACTGTCAACTAGTAAGAGACTATAGCGTAATCGTTAACAAATATCTCTATATAAAGGAAACGAATAAGGTGGGAGGGCAACAATTTTGCAGGAGGACGGCCATGGATAAAAGAGTGTTCACCTCAGATTTTCAGATAATCGATATTTTTTAGATCACTTTCTGCAGATAGAAACATTTTTAAAGCAATATCAACTTGAATTTTATAAAGCTGCAGATACGGAAATCAATTAATTCTGTCACGTGGAGTTATCAGACATAGAGGGCATTTACCTCTTGGTATCGGAGATTAAATTAGAGATTAATTATCGAAGAAAAAATCAATAATTCCGTACAAAATATATTTCCTAGCGAATTAAAATTATCTCTTCCGTGCGTATTTTACCCCTTACACTTGTATGGAATAAAAAAACAACGCCATTTAATATTCTTTCAAACTGAAATGAGTAAAATCAATTCTTGAGAACGCAAAATCTGTTGATTGCGAATCGTAAATTTATGTATATATTTATTATTATCTATTATATATATATCTATTATTATTAAATTTATGTATAATCATTTATAATATAATTTAGCAAAAAGAAAATATTAAATCGTCAAATCACATACATAAAACAAAACAGCTAAAGATGCGATAAAGAGAAGAAGTAGTCGATATTCATAATATTACGAAAGCAAGCACAACAAATGAAATTCTTGATTCAATTATCAAATTTAATCACTTACCAATGAAGACAAAGATCTGATGATGCGAATACCGCAGTAACATCGAAATGGAGATAGTCTGAAATAACCAAATACGTTACTGTAAATAAAATGTAAAAAACCGCAAAAAAATAAATTTAATGTCCCCATGTTATAATTTAAAGAATGAGATCTGGACGGATAGTCATACAAAAGAGAGTTATTATTTTTTCCAATTTCGAATCTAAATAAGATTAATCGTAATGAACGAATAATTTGAATAAAAAAAACAATAATCTTAGTAATAAATCTTTCCTTTTTCTATTTTTCTTATATATCGAGTAATATGTATCAAAGCGGTAAAAGTATTTATTATTTCGTGAAAAGGGATTGCAATAAAGACAGGATACGAAGCAAATTGCAAGCCGAACGGTTGCACTCGGTTACCAGGTTGAGAGCGAATAGTACAATTGAATTGCGAATGGTTCAGATTGAACTAGCACCTGACACCCCGAGATAATTCACTATTTACTATGAGCAACCTTGGTAACAAAAACGTTTAATAGTACTTTGCAGATGCGTCAGTGCTATTTACGAGCTACTGATACAAAAGAGACAAAAATTCCATCTAACCTAAGATCAATGTATGAATTCGATTGGAATGTGGAAAATATTTTTTTGGAATATCCCTATCACTTCTCATTTCGGAATGAAAAGACTACTACTTTGTAGGGTGTAGATTTTACTACTTTGTAGAGCGGATTGTAGATTTTTGTAAATTTTTCATATTCTAGCTTAGAATCTAGAACAATATTCATTAGAATATCTACTTTAGTATATATGCATATTTTAGAAAACACCTACCGTGTATCACATGAAAACGAATATTTGCTTTCATTAAAAAAAATAATTCACAATACTTTTTATTTGTATAAAATGATTCTCCCAATAATTGATAAGTAACAATATACGAACAATCAACCAAACCATCACATTAACGCTTAATAGTATATAAGTACTAATTTTGAAATTACATATATTGGCTCTATGATTAGCAAAGTCAAAAGACTATATCACCACTATTATAATAATGAAAGTAAATGTTTGATAATAATCCTATTTAACATTAAAAATCTTGACATTAAATAACATTTGATTGCTTACCTAAATAATTTGTCATACAACTCAACATTTCAGATATATCCTTTTTGTAGATATTCAATTGTGCACAGCAATACTTTATTTAAGTACATCTTTACACTTTTTTGTTATTTGAATTGTATTTATCTTTTATAATTCCTATGGAAATTTTAAAAATTAAAATTAAAACTTTTTATGTATTAATATGTTCAAATACTATTATTGGTGTCTTTTTAATATACTTTCACAAAATTTATCTTGCTTTATATAATAACCTCAATGGGATAAATTAAATCAATAAAAATATGAAAGCAAAACACATTTTGTCTAATTTGATCGAAGAAATAAATATAGTCTTCCACAACAAAAAAGAAGCATTGTCAATTAAAAAAGACAAGAGAAGAATATTGTTTCAAAGTGTACATCGTACTACAACAAAGGGTATATACCCAATGTCATGTGCATATGACAGAGGAGATACTGAGTAATACATAGATGACGACAGTTCCGTACACGTGACTTTACGGTGGGTTGACCGAGGGTGATCCCAGGTAGAATACCCCAAGCACTGAAGTAACATTCACGTGTTGTGGCACGAGATTCATTTATCTCCCATCTCAACCACAGGCTACATTCAAATATTTTCAATGCTTTATGCGAAATATGTATTACAATGAATCTTATGAAGAAAAGGACACCACATTTCATGTAGATTTTTTAATAAATTCCATTTGAGTTAAATTGTTTTCACTAAATTGTTATTATACACGATGAAACACGCATAAGAAAAATCATTTTTTGTATGTAAACATTTTTGTTTGTAACGATACCGAATTATAGCGCTGTAATCACTGTTTCCAATTATAGGAATTTACATAAATTTGAAATCATTGCAAAGCAATATTTAATATTAAAATTTATACTATAATAGCAATGATAAAATTAAATACAAGAAATTGAAGAAAAAGATCGGATACTATGTTCAACTAATATATGTACATATATACACATACATATATAATTCACTGGAATGTATAAGTCACCTTAATGAATAACAAATCTTGCAAATTTTCTATTTGAACATTTCTTCTACTCAAATTATTCATGCATAGAATAATTGGCTTTTCACTATATCCATCGTGAATAGCTAGGTATGAACTAGATGTAGACTGCCGCACAATGCATTGCATTTGAATCATGGTTAGTAGTATGCAATATTACTCATTTGTTCGCTCGCCGTAAACCCATTAAACACGAGTGGAGCTATTCGTTGGTCCGTATATGATCCAATCACTTCCTAACACCCGGGGAATACCCCGAAATTTCACAACCCATCAGACATGCGTGCTGTTTATATTGGAATGTAGTATTCGATAAATATTGACGTAAATTACTTATTCAATTACAAAATATAAATTATCTATTAACAGAAACTGTCGAAGATGATATTCATTAAAAAAAAAAATTTAACTACAAAAGTAATATTTTTGTCCTATATCGATCGCAACTAAAACAGCAATTAGTGAAAGTAGCCATCATTAGTAATTTAAATTCCAAGATTCTTAACAATCGTCTCTTACTGCAGTCTCGTTGCAGCAAAACGTATTTGAGAACAATTTGATACAAAATTGCCAACTTGGGGGTCTCTGTAACGAATATGATACCTCTAATAACGTTGATTTATACCCGACGGTTCAATTCCAAGGGGATCACAGAATGTAAGGGTACAGGTGGTTGGAGAGTTATACGCGGGTTACCTCAGTGCGTGGTTACTTTAAATTGATTGCCATATCCTTTTACACGTACTGGGTTGTCGTGTGGACACGTGTGATATCAACCCCTTGACGGAGAGGAATATATCCGGATCGAAAACACGTAGCATATGAAACTAAATCCAATTTACACTTCCAGAACATTCTGGAGCTATGATTATCATATCGTAATGCGATATTATAACACCGAAACGTGTAAATCGTAATATCAATAGCTTCATTTTTTTAACACAGAAATTGCAGGGAGAAATGTAACTTAAAAAAATGAATAAATTTATAAATCAATAAATCATGTATCTTAATACATAAACTAATAAAAGATTTACTTTGTTTTACGTATAATATCAAATATTCAATCTCATATCAAAAAAGAAAGAAATTTAAATTCTATTTTTGATTGTTCGTATAATTGTAAATTACAAACAATGAATGAGATATTTAGCATTGCATGCGATTATTACTAAAAACAAAATATACTTACAAAAACTAACATGATAAAAAATGCAGCAAGATACGTAGTTCTAGCCATCCACATGTTTACAAATCGATAATGTTCTCCGGTCACCACGTTTCTACATAACAAAATTAATATATAATGTTACAGTACTAACATTAAATAATATAAACAAAAAGAAATAAATTTAAATTTATTTACCGTAAAAAACCTTGATTATCTTCATGCTCTGCCAATGTCTTAATACTCGCCATCAGTAAGTCATCGTATCCTAAGAGTTCATCAAGTATTAATCTGGAGAAATCATCGCCAAAGCATTTGTCATTAACAGGATCCAAAGTAACGATTTTTACAGGAATGTTTAATCTTTGCCGTGCTACAGGTGATAATCTCAAGAAGCCATATTCCAATGAATATTCTACGATATAACCATCTCCTGAAAAGGGAGCAATTTGTTAATAAAATATTTAAAAAATAATTATATGATCATTAAAGTCATCAAATTACTATTATTTTTGTTCCCAAATTTTTTAAGAATTATGGCATAACTATACCTGCTCTAACTTCAGAATTTGGATCTTTTAACGATTGAATAACGTCTTCTTTATTAGACTTATTTGTATCCTGCACTATAGTATTATTTTCTGTATTTGTTAATAGTATCTTCTCATCTAAAACCTGGAATGTTAACATTTGAAACACAATTTAATATAAGACATCCCGCATATAATATATATTTCATAGTTATATAATATATTTACTTCTTTAGTATCTCTGTTCATTTCATTCCATTCCAGTTTAGTAGATAATGAAGGACTTGTTGTAGTGTTAGTAATACTTAAATTTGGATCTTGAGTTTTTCCAGGCACAGTGGCACTTCTAATAACTATTTCTTTTTCAGACAGTGTTAAACTGTCGTGATTTTCTTCATTCGATGCATTATTTATATCACGTTCTTCATCAACAGCAGATGGTTCGATATTGATAAATCTAAAGATAAAATAAAAAAGTAAAATACTGTATTAATAATTATAATAATATATAATATGAAAGTTTCATTTTATTATATATTTTATCCCTCCTTACCCATCTCTAGTTAATATTCCTAAAGCACTAGTTAAGTCATCAACTTTTTCTTGTCGTAGTTTCTCCTCTTTTGCGTAACTCTTTTCTATACTATAATCTTCTCCTCCATTTCTAAGTATCTCAACTCTTAATATACCATCACGAGGCCAATCATCTCTTATATGTTCTAAACAATTAGTTGGTGCTCGTGAAAATACTATGTGAATGTAAGCCAACACAAAAAATGCTGCTATAGCCTAAAATACATAATTTTAAATCTTTTATTAAATTTGAATATATTATTTTTAAATCATAGTTACCTTCAATAAAACTATAAATTCTATAAATCTTCTGACAGGCCGTGGAAATGTTCTGGCATAAGTTAATGCTGCTTTAATAAATATTGCATGGAACAATCTATCCCTTACATTAACTAATGGGTTTTGATTATTATTATTCCTAGCAGTATTCATACTGTTATTATTTAAGACTGGTCGAGTTGGACTACTTGTATTATGATTGTTATGTACAGCTGCACCGTTCTGATTATTCGTTATTGGTATTGTAGCACCATCCACTTGTGGCATTTTAAATATTATATAATATTTGTATTTAGTGGATGATGTAATAGCTAATAATTCTGTTTCATACTACTTCTATGTATGAAATCTCTTAAAAAGTGCTTATACATGTCGTGTATATACATTTCCAAATCAAAGTGAATTCTTAAATATCCTGGAATAAATAATAATGATAATATTAAATTAAAATTATCATATAGTATTACATAAATTTGCATATTTTATAAAATTTTCATCTTTTACATAGTTTTTATAAGTTTTCACCTATAACATTAAATTATATATAATTAAAATAGATAATACACAGCATTGTTAAAAACTTATTTTATCTATATGGTTAAAGTTGTATCATGCATCTACGATATACATTTAAAAATTTCTTTAGCATTTTATTTCATAATCAATCATTTTGCATACAAGACTGCATAGAGACTATATAGATGACTTGCATATCATAAACTTTACATATTAAATTTGTTATTAATAATAACAACTACAACTAATGTGGAATATAACCTATAGCATAAATTCTGCATGCAATATAACCTATTTGGCAATCGCATTTTTACGTTTCAGATTATGATACTTATAAATATAACAGGATCGCTTATGCACAATATTTCTTTTCAGTTACATCATGATGTCAGATAAATTTCTATTAATTAAGAAAATAAATAAATGTACCAGTTACATATTTTGTTATATAATTACATAATTTAAAAGATGTCAGTAATTACATATCAAAAGGAAGTATATACAACGTTATACATTTTATATTTGTTATGAATACATATATATCTCTAAATTAATTGTTATTCACCGGACGTGACATTTCGCAGCTGACACATGAATTCGTAACTTTTTAAGATACAAATCAACCATATCGTACCTTCTTTAAGCTGAACGTTGTATTACAACGTTGTATTTCTAAAGTTTTATTGTTCTCCTGCGTGTCACTGCAGATAATAATAGATTTATAACAGTACCGCTTGCAAATATTAACAAATTTAATTTTTGTCAAATTGTCACTTCATCATCATATGTTTTGATATTCCACAACTTGTATTGTAATAGTCCCCAAATATTACAATATGAAATGTGACCAACATTATAGCACAAATTTTAAAAACTTACCAATGTTTTATTCCCTATTCATTTTTATTGAAACTCTGTTGATCAATCACTAAAAAGACTCAGCCAATAACATAATATTCATTGATACGTTAATTTTAAATTGAAATGTTTAGACGACAAAAAATATTGTAAAGAAGGATAAAGTTTTGAATATTTTAACAAATATAATATTTTGTAAAGGAGCATATAGTTAATATGATATCAAGACACTATTAAAAATATATTGTATAATTTTATGTGAATTCATATGAATAAACTATCTTTAAGTAACATATTCAAGGTATAACATATTGAAGATAAAATCTATTATTTAATAATATCATCAGTTGCTGCATTATTTACAATTATGAATTCTCCAAGATCACCACAAACTCCTCTCAGTTTTGAATTGAAGAAAATCATTAATGATAGAAATGTTTTAAGTATGCGTAATCGCATGAAAGGTATATAATTAATAATTTATGCTTTTATCAAATAATTGTAAAATGTGAAATGTATAATGTTTATATTTCCAGTTCTCAACAGTATAAATGAACATAATCAAAAACAATATGAAGAGAAAGAAAAAGATTTAAAGTTTCAAGCTATACAGGAAATTTTAACAACAGAAGCTACATATTTAAGGCAATTAGAAATTTTAATGGAGGTATTATTCACATATATTTACAGATATTTGATAACATAAATATCAATGATAGAATAAAACATAAGCATATATGTACTTTTTTCAGTATTTTGTACAACCCATAATAGAAAGAAAGTTATTACATCATAGTTTACTTTCAACATTGTCTGAAAACATAAAGACATTATATAATGTTAGTGGAGAATTAATAAAAGAACTAAAACAAGATCCAAGAAATATTGCAGGCGCATTTCACAAACTTGCTCCATTTTTTAAATTGTATTCTGTTTATGCTTATGATTATGAACAAATTTTATCACTACTACAGGTATTTGTTATTACATTAGTTGATTAGTTAAAAAGTACTACTATATAGAAAAATTTCTTGTTTTAGATGAAACAAGAAAATGATACTGAATTTAAAGATTTTATTAGTAAGCAAGAAACAAGACCAGAAGTTGGTAGAAAATTACCTTCACTATTAATTACTCCAATACAAAGGGTACCTAGATACAAACTACTATTGAGAGAAGTCTTGCAACATACATCTAACAAACATAAAGAATATAATCTTTTACAAGGTAATTGCAAGATAGCATAAAACAATATCATTTCAGTTTCAAGTATTATATATTAAACAAATTGATTATTTTACAGCATGTTTAGTAGAAGTGGAGAAAGCTGCAAGGCATATAAATACCTTCATTGAACAATATGAAGAATCACAAAAATTACTAAGACTTCAAAAATGTATTGTAAACCCAATTAATTTGATAAAACCCGGTAGAAAATTAATCAAGCAAGGAGCATTAATGAGAGTCTCTAGACGAGGAAGCTCTGCATATAGAAGATATTTTGTTCTTTTGAATGACATTTTATTATATTGCAAAGGTGATCCACAAAATTCATTGACTGTATGTTGTGTTTTACCATTGAATAAGTGTAAAATTGAATCTGTTTTGAGTGGTGGATTGTTTTGTGTTACTTGTTTAAGTGAAACACTTTTACTTTATTCCGAGAAAGATGATAGTAATTTATGGATAGAAGCTATACAAAATTCTATAAAGAAGGTATTATTGAAAGATAATAACTTCTCTTACTTAAATATTAAATTTAATAACTGATTTATATTATCTTCTTATTTTAGTATGCAGAATGTAGACAAACATTAAGAAAGGATAGCAGTTCAAGAAAACCATTAAGGCATAACAATCTTAATTCATTTCCATCTGAAAATATACCAATAGTCGCTGGTAAAAGAAAGAGATCATACAAAGAAACGGAGGTGTGTATGATACTCTTTGTCAATTTTAACATTTCTTTACTCTAATAAATTTTAAAAGTATGTTAAATTAACAGATTAATCTAGATGCATCAAAAATTACATATTTGAAAAAAGATAATGAAACAGATGCAGATATACAATCAAATAATAGCTGTTTGGTACTTCTAAAAAGATTTAAAAGATTTAAAAATGACGATAATTCTAAATATATTAAGTCTTGTGAACAAAACATCAATTGTGTAAGTTTTGATATAATGTTTTATAAATATAAAAATGTTGATACTCTATAATTTATATACAATTTCTTTGCAGAAAATTACAGATAAAGAAAATGTACATTTTACAGAATGCAGTACACCATGTTTATCTCCTAATAAGTTTGCAAATTTTAAACAAGAGTCATCAACACTCAAATCCATCAGTGCATTCTTTGCATCTCTTGGTTCATCTTTAAAGGAATTCTTTTGGTTTAGGTAATACAGTTTTATAAAATTATTAATAAAATTAACGAAATAACGAGATGATCTTTTAAAATCCCGATATTTTCCCCTCGACTTTCCTCATGAATTATTTAAACGTCTATACTACTAATAAAATTCAATGTAGTTTATACACATATACATATGTACGTATATTTGAACTATTCCAAACACAGTCATCCGTACTATAAAAGTAACAAATATAAAAGAAATAAATAACTAGATATTTATATACAAAAATAAAATAACATATCTTATAGAACAGAAATTACTAATTTAAAATACAGATGCAGCAAATATATTCTTTCTATCCATGATTGTTATATAAAAAAACAGTAGACATTATCATCATATAAATATAATCTTGTGTAAACATAAATAAGATACAGAAATCCCTAGATAGGACTAAATCTGGCTGAACTAAACGAAGACACTCTGATACCTACAAATGATAAGAGAATTGAATTTTTTATCATATAATTAACAAAATATCATTTCGAATCCAGGTAGGATAAATTTTTGAAAGTGTAACATAAGATAAAAAAGATAATAGAAATTTATAAAAAAAGACAAGTAATGAATAATATAAAATAAATACTACACATTTTATGTTATACTATTAAATACAGAGAAAGCAACATTTTTAAATGTTATATATTATTATCTATCACTTTAATATGTTTAAACAATACTTTTTGTCTTTAAATTTATTTGTTAGGGTATATACGAAACTTAAATGAATTTTGTGGTAGGTTATGTTTATGTCGCGTTTAATAAATGAAATCTATATAATAATACAATAAGAAAAATATTCCTTTAAAACTACGTATAATTATCTGGTTTAAAAGCAATTAAGGAATAATAAGTTTAAAGAAAATATAAATAAGACATTAAAAAGATTTCTTTTCATTTTAACCAAAGTATACATATGTATATATTTGTATATGGTGAAAAGCATTTACTAAAACAAGTAATATTATCAATATACAGGTATATTAAAATAACTGCAAGAAAGTTCTTAATTTCATATTTATAAATAGGATTTAATAATAATAAATTAACTGTATAAAATAAAACTAATGTCCGAAATAAAGTTTTACATATTTTAAACATATGTTACATGTAACATTATATTATATTATCATAAAAGTTACTCAAAAATTGTACGCATGTTCATATATATGTATATTGCAGATGCTTCTATATTCTTTGATGGAGCTAAAAAATTAAAGAATTTATACACTATCATTTT